ACAATCTGTAATAGCACTACGAGGATTGGTCACTAGTATTGCCAGCTGGGCTAGTGTGTCCACTTTAACATTGTACATTGTCTGGAGATTGCCTTTTTTATACTGGTGTGGGGTTTTTTCCCCCCAAGGTTTAATCTAATTTCATATTGCATAACCCCCAGCCTCCTCTAATACTGTTTAAATGTGTGCATGACACTGCGAACAATTAGTACCATATGTAGTGCTTACTACCCTGAGTACTGCCACAGATCTCCATGGCATCCTTGTGCTGTCATTATGAAATCCCATTGCCATCCATTAGACTAGTAAGCACTACACTAATAAATACTTTCAGGATTGGGTCCTATGCTGGGAACAGCAGTCTGTATCCATCCTATCCTTCTTCACCTGCACCAGCATAAAGGGCACTACTCATCTGTGCAAGTGTTTGCAGGATAATGTCAGTTATAGGGACTGTTTCCATGAGTATAATTACTCACTGGAGTACGTGTCTGTAGAATTTGGGCCTTGACCTATCCTCAGTGCAGCACACAATCTATCCTTTTTCATTGTTAATCACAGGGTTGAAAACGTTGCAATGTTCAGCCAGTCTGCGGTTGAAGGCTGAAAAGTCACTTTAAAAATGGTTAAAAAGGTCACACAGCTGCAAATAATAATGGCCCAATGAAAATCAGATTCTGACTGTAGCCCACTTCAAGAATAACACTGAAACAGGAAACAAGCCTGCTTGATGCTTTTAGCAGTTAAAGCAATAAGAATACCACTGACTTTTATTTATTTATTTATTCTTTCATTTATTTATTTATTTCTAAAGTGAGAGAGAAAAGAGAGCAGACTTTCCTGGTGCGAATTTCTTGAAGTGTTTTTCTAATTGTAGAGGTGATGATGCTAAAGCTCTGTGCAGCTTTGTTGAGAAGACTTTTAGTCCAACTCAGAAGAGGATGCTGCTGAGAGGAGATGAAGTTTTGCTTTATTTTGAGGGTGGTTCGTTTTCTTTTGTTTGTTCTATGTGCTTCAGTTTTATTAATTATTCTAAAACGTGTTTGCAAGTGCACACAACTTCGTTTCTCTTATATGTAGCATTGGCTACCGAAGCCCTTGCATGCCTCTGTCCTTTAATCTTTTCATTTGACTACCTCAGCTTCTCCTAGGCAGAATGATATTTCCGGGGAATGGCAGGCTACAACAATGTAGCAGATTTCCTCACATATGTATCCTGCCAATGAGACTCTTTACGTAGTCACAATAGGGCAATAAATGCTGACAGATGTTGTTAACATCGCTATTAAAATCCAACCCCCTTTTCAGATACATAATGCATTCAAACCCATGTTAATTATATCAGAACTGATCCTGACATATCAATATCATTTTAAGTGCTCACTTATATTAATAATTCCTGTTTGCAGTTCTGAAGTTGCCAAATACTGAGGAATTGATAACAATAGAAGCCAAGAATTCAGACCTAAGTAATTTTTTAACCAAGCGTTCTGGATTCATTTGATGTTCATTGTATGAATTAATTTGGTGGTGTTGTGGTTGTCACATGAAATTCTATGGAAAATCCATTGTAAATGTAATTTGAGTTTTAAGGGCATTAAAGGTTAATTTAGATGGAGGTGTTAATATGATTTTTATTAGATGCAACAGCCCTGGGTGGGTTATTTTCTCATGCATGCTGGTGCACCTGCACACATTTGTAAAACAATTGAATTACATTATGTTGTGATGCACATGCATGAGCCTTACACTATGAACCATATGCTATAGGTATATGCAACTGTCACTATTCTGAACTGGGGGATGTGAGACCTACACCACATCTTGACAAGGACTTCATATAACTTCTCCAAAGCACAACTGGAAAAAAATCCTGCTATGAGAGGTGTTGTTATTCTTCAGTTTTAATGATATCACACATGATATCACTACTCTGCATAGTGTAATTTGACTCTAGAGGTTTGTGGTACTTGATAGCACATTTTTTAGGGGCAAGGTATGCTGGACAATATTCTACAGAGACAAGGTGGGTGAGGTAATATCTTTTATTGGACTTGTCTCTCTCACCAACAGAAGTTGGTCCAATAAAAGATATTACCTCATCCACCTTGTCTCTCTAATATCCTGGGACCAACACTGCTACAACTACACTTCATATAATATTCTACAGGGCATGTATTTTTTTTCCATACTGAATTATGGATAATTGTAAAAATATGTGTGCAACTGATTGATTAATGAGCATTTTGCTTTATAATTTTATTTGTTTTTAGTTTAGTTTGTTATCTTAAAATTCTCTGTGAAATGTGATTTGCATAGGAGACTTGCAATTATTTATACATTTATCATAAATGATTAGCCAATGAATCTGACATTTTTGAGGGGTGTGGTGAAAAAAGACAAAGACCAAATTTTCCTATGGGATACCTGTCTATATTTAGTGTAGATTTAGGTGCCTATATCCATATTTAGGTATCTAAATAATATTTACAATTGTTTAATAATCATCTGACTAACTATGGATTTAGGTATTTAAGTTTTGGCCTCCAGCTTTGAAAAAATTGGCCTTATTTCTTACAAAAATAACATTTGATTAGAGAAGGAAATGCAATAAGAATGGCTGGTAGGATTTTTAAACTCACTTGTACACTTGGGATCAACATTATTTCACTCTGTTTCCTTTTCACTAAGCATCATCCATTCTTCTCCCATTGGAAGTGCAGTTGTCTGTCTCCCCTGAGGATGAGGGAAAGGGATAGCTGGAGTGTTTGGTATTGCTTCAGTTGCAGAAGTAATTGAGATATCAGATAAAGTCTTTCTTTATCCACACATAGTTTTTTCCTGTGAAAAAGTCTTTCTAGAGTTCTATTTAAAAGCACTTTAGAAAAAGGTAACATTCCAGGATTAAAGAAAGGAGGAGTTTTAAAATGAATTTACCAGAGCTATTTTTGTATTGGTTAGTTTTCTCTATTGCTTCATTGCTTTAAGATGGGAATGTACAAAAATCCTCTGACTCCTTCCATCTCTAGGTTATTGGGTCAAATCTAAAGGGCCACTCTACTCACAAACTGGAACTGACATAACTAAAATTGGTCGCAGCTCACACCTGGCATCTTCAGTTATGTCAGTACAAATCTGTATATGGTCACTATTTCTTATTTCAATTTTATTTAAAATTGATTTGAGTTATATCAAAATAGAGCATTCATAATCTGAAATAGGGATGTCTACACACATTTCCATTCCAGTTTGTGTGTAGATGTGTCCTAACTCTGGTCTAAAATTTATTAACTTTTGCTGGCCATTCAGTGAAATAAGTTGCTGGTCTCAGCCGAGTTTTAGGGCATAGTTGTCCCCCTCACAAAAAGCAAATGGCACTGATTGTCACCTTTATTGGCAGCCTTGGCAGTGAGGTCAAGGGCTTAATGGAAATGGCAACTGACTCCTCACTCATAGAAATTGTCTGTCTGGGTCAGGGTTAAAGCACACAGACAGCACATCATAGGGAAGCTCATGCTGCTGTCTGGTATGTGGTACCTCACCTGGTAAACAGGAAGTATGTCCCGCTGGCAATCAAACCAGCACCTTTTTAGCAGCACAAAATTCATTTAAAAAAAAGAAAAAGATGGGATATGTTAGAAATCCAATCATCTGGAATTTTCACTGCTGTAGTAAATATGATAATGGGGAATAAGTGCTTATAGGTACAGGTTAGGGCTGATGTTCAAGGTAAGAATGCAAACTGTTTACAGGATATTTACAGTTTTGCAGGATACTCTCAGAACTTCTAAGTAAATAACGCTGCTTTGAAAATTAGCATCTGTATAATTTGGTTGCATCATTATAGATTCCTGTTTATGCTATCATAATGATAAAGGAACAATCAACTTGAAGTCTACTCTGTTTTTTTTCTTAAAAATGGGTTCAAGTAGTTTATGGTTCAACACCTGCCCAGGAGGCCATCTGCCAATTTTGGGGACTTCATAATCAAATTTTCCTACTTATTAAAATGTCTTTCTCCCCTCTTTAATTGGGTGAAAGACTCATACAAACAGACTAAGCAGGGATACTGCTAAGCAGGGATAGAGTGAAACTGAATAATGCTGTCCAGTGCAAGCAAACTGAAAAAAAGTGTTTTGTTTTCTAATGTAGTTAATTTATTATAATCCTAGATATTACTTGTAGAAATAGTAGGTTCAAAATAGTGTGGTGATTGGCCACTTAGGAAGTAAAAAAGGCTTTATAAAATAATTTAGTCCAAATCGGTGAGAAGCACTGCTTGAGTACTGACACAAATTCAGCTGTAATATTGCACTCTGAGAGTTGCATACTATGTGGAGAGGCAAATTTATTTCTCCGCCTCCTTTTATTGTTCTTTTCTCATTCTCTAACCCAACAGCTCTCTCCCAAGGTCTGGTCCACAATTAAAATACTGAACTGCAATGGCTTTTGGGCACATTACAGTTCTGCTCTCTGCTAGATTTCAAGTCTTACGATCCTTAGGACTGCATATATAATACTATATGCTAAATATGTTACCTAAGATAATTCACTACTCAAAATGTAGGCTCTTCAGTTAGAAAAATTTCAGTTAGTCTGGTTTAAATGTTGTTCAGTCAGGAACCGAAGGAGGAAAAGTAAAAACCCTTAATTTCAGGATCTTTCTGAGCAGACATGGTCTTATCTAATAATAACACTGAGCATGTGTTTTTTTTCCTAAGCAGGATTTCAGTTGTAACAGCCTAATGGCTTTTTTCTTCCTTTAGAGTAAATATATGCCCAGAAAAGAGCAATAAGAACTTAGACTGTAGGGAGCCTAGTGAATATTAGTACCGTAAGTTAGGACCCTGAAATGATGATGAATTTTTTCCTGTCAATTTTGGGAGTTTTGAAATTAATGTTTTAACATTAAAAATGCTTCTATTTTGCATGTTTCCTGAAGTTTAGGGTGCATATATTTATGGGTTCCCTTTTTCCCCTCCCCACCTTTTAACATGTAGATTTATGAGGAATCAAAGATGAACTTGGAGCAGGAGAGGCCTTTTGTCTGCAGTGCCCCAGGCTGCTCACAGGTGAGTGGAGTCAGCAGCAATATTAACAGAGCCCTCAGCGCTAGCTCTGGCTTGTATAATGCCTCCTGATATATTAACACACGCCTAATAATAATGTTTTCCAAAACCTTCTCTTTTTCCACAAAGATATTATTACAGAATGATGAAAGCAAATATACAGCTATTCACGTGTGTGTCGCTAAATGTTTTTTCAAGCCTTTCTCGCTCCCAAACTCAAACCAAATATTTTAAGCAACACTGCACACTTCTTTAAGTGTTCAAGTGGTAACAGCTCAGGAAGGGAACGTACTGGCTTAGTATGGTTATAGCTCTTGTAATATTTGCCCTTGCTTCTCACACATTTGTATAAACCAGTAAGTTTTATTTGTGTGTGCGTGTGTATTTATTGCCATTTCCATGCTTATCATCTTATAGGACATCTTCATATTAAATATGCTTCATTTAAAATGCATTTCATAGCCAAATTCTGACCCATTTTGTACACATGCAATTCCAGCTTACTTGAATGGCAGCCCCACATATGCATCTGAGGACATAATCTGGCTCATAACATTACATGTTTGATCTTTTCCTCATTATAAGGGAATTGACAGGTATTTTACCCACTAAGAACTGAGTTTAGAATTCAGTGTTTCTTCAACACAATTGGTAATTAATAACAACGTCATTAATCCCTAAAGCAATTTAGGAACTTCCATCCCTTGCATTCCCCATACTAGTTTAGTCTAGTGACTAGAGTACAAAACTAGGAGTAATAAGATATGGGCTTCCTTTCAGGTGCTATCATAGACCTGCTGTGTGACCTTGGGTAAGTCATTTTACTTCCCCTACCTCAGTTTCCCTATCTGTAAATGAGGATAACACTTCCCTACTTTGCTGGGGTGTTGAGTCTTCAGTCCTTAATGTTTGTAAAACCCTTTCTGCTCTTCTGATGTGAGCTATAGAAGTGCAGCGTATATTATTATTAGAGTTTTAGATGCTGGTAATTTTACCCACAGTTGGAGTAGAAATGTGGAAATCTTGAATTCATGTGTTGGCACATAACTAATGTGCTCCACCATTTAATTTAATAAGACTCTTACTAATGACTTCCGTTGATTTTGGATCAGTCCCTAAATGAGGAATGTGTGCATTTGTTGTTTTAAGTCTGTGTGTACACAGCTGAACCTTCACTAGACGCCCTACCTCCAAGAGATTGGTTTTAAAATATCTCCAAGCTCTTTAGCAAAATTTAATTTAATCTTTTTAATAGTCTTGGCCAAGTTCACAAGAAGCATCAACTGATCGACCTTTCATTGAAATCAATGGAATTGAGCCCACTTATGGCAGTGGTGAATTTGGCTTCCACCTCTACTGGACAGTCAAAGAGGAGGGAAATCAAATAGTCTATTTTATTGTTTATTTAATGAAAAAAAATTTTTAAGTTCACCTTTAAATTATAATGCATCTTCTGTTTACTATAAGACATCAGTTGCATACTACAGTATTGCAAACTAGTTAAGAGGTTTAGGGGCTTCCTTCTCCATCAACCAGTGCATCTATTCGAAGAATGAGTTAGCTGGCCATGTGTACCATAAAGGAAGTGTGCTTACAGAAAAGACACAAGTCTGGATTAAAGAAATGGCTTCTTCCCCCAACCCCACCAGGCCTTCTTTAGGCCCTGCTGATTTGCACACTGAAGACGGAAGCATAACATTCCATGGTGGAGAATTCATTTCAACAATGTGTTCCTGCTCACAACATTAGCGTGGAGAGTCTTTCCCACATTCCATTTGCTCTGAATGTAAATTTTTAGTGCTTTTACTTCTTCCAGATGAGTAAACACTGAACCAGGATTTCACAGTGAGGAAAAGGACTTTCCCCCCCTTTCTTGGAACTTTATCTATCTATCTACCTATCTATCTACATTTTTGACATATCATCCACATTATGTACTCTGTGAATACTGAGAGGCACATAGATGCTGCAGAGTATAACTTACTGTGTCTGTTTATAACATACTATAGCCACCAGCAGAGGTACTTAGTCTGGGTTGGCACCGAATCATCTCCATTTTACTACTGCCAGTTTCTGTCTGTCTTCTAGGGACCTGCTGCTTTAAAATGCCGCTCTTTACAAAGCTATCCAGACACATCTTAGCCGCCTTTGCTACTCCTTGACTAGCCCTGTTAAAGCAAAGAATTACCATAACTAGTAGCAAAAATATAAAATTTGTCCAATATGTGCAAAAATGTTTTTCCAGATTCTTTCACTTACATGTTGACCTCAGATTATTTAATCCACAGGCTGCCCCATTTTTCCGCTCTCTGCCTAGTAAGGTCGTGTCCACTTGCTCTTTCACTATAATAAGTTTTTCAACAGGAACCATTTAGACCACAATGTGCCCAGATTTTTTTTTATAATTATTAAATGTTTGCTCAAGTTTCTGTTGTTTTATTATTATTATTTAAAGAAACAGTTGAAATTTATAATTCTGTTATCAGGATTATAAATGTAATTACACCCATTAGTATATTGTGTAAGGTTTCTTACAACACATAACCCTTCCCTCTTGTCCTCTGGGCAAAAAAAGGAAATTAGTTTAATATATTTTCCTGGCTGTAAATACCCAGTAGAAATCAAGTACCACTGTATAGTGGCTGGAATAAATCAGGTCTGATTAGAACCAACTTGATCTATTGCAGACATGAATCATATGGGGAAAAAATGCATGATACCTGGGCACCTTTGGGTAGGGGAAGGCTGGCTGTTTTGATTATCTTTTTTTATTGTTCTTAAGTAAGGATAAGCTGGCGGCATGGGTAACCAATCTGAATTTTGCTACTGGTGTGTATTTTGGGTATATGACTAGATAGGCCATCTGCATTTTAACCCTTTTACTTGGGTGTTGTCCAAGAGATCACTGCAGCAAATTTGCTCTCACACATAGAGTACAAAGATAGTTCTTACTTATGCTTACTTGCATTTTAGAATTGTTTTTGGCTGTTCCTGTGTCATTTGGATGGCTGGATGAATTTTTTTAAAAATCCTGTCCATTGCCAAAAATTTATTAGAGAGCTAAATACTTCTTTCTTCCTCTCTCTGTGTTTGCCTGACAGCGTTTTCCAACAGAGGATCATCTGATGATTCACAGGCACAAACACGAAATGACTTTGAAGTTTCCTTCAATAAAAACAGATAATATGTTATCAGGTAAGAAGACATGGAATGTAAGAGACAAGCGAAGTACCTATTTTGATGTTGATATTATGACTCCTGCTGGAAGGCTATTGTCAAAATACCTCCAAGAGGTTAATTTCAAAAGTATTCCAATCAAATAACAAGTAGAGATGGAACAAACTATGTGGTTCACCTCTGGACAAGGTGGTAACTGGTATTTGTTTGTCTTGTTTGAGGATTGGTATGAGAGAGAGAGAGAGAGATTGCTGAACCTTAGCCACATTGGTTTTGCCTATATTATATATCAGGTCAATGGGGTAAAAGGCTGCTCCAGTGCTGCCTCCATTTATCAGCATTCCAGTGAAATATACACACTTAAGAGTGGCATTACAGAAATCTGCGACAAAAAGGTTACTGAAGTACATCTGTGAAGTTCCTCCAGCAGTCACTATTTTAATATGTGAAAAGCTCACCTCAGCACCCATTTTATGCCACTTATAATAGTCACCTTTTTAAGATACTGATGTACTTCAATAGCTATAAATCAGCCAGCTGAAAAAAACTAAAACAGTGACAATAGCTAAAGTGCCCCTTGGGATAAAAACATTACTAGGTACAGGATCATCCTCGCATTCCCTTATTCTTGAGCTGGTTCTGAAGTTTTCACACATGAGTGTGTATGTCCATGCCCATACATACACTGGTGGCTTGCTAGCATTGGATGTTGATTGTAGTTTCTGCTTCCTTCCCTTTTGCTTCCCCCCTTCTCGTGTTTTATAGGGTATATTTTTAAGACATTAAGCATATTCCTACGATTATATCCATAGAATATTTAGAAACTTTGGTTTTTTACCGTTTTAAGATTCCAAATTCTAAATATAAAAATAAAATGTGCTAAATTATGATACCCAGTTAGGGTTTATTCATTTTATTTGACATATTAAGTACTCATGGAGACAGATTTTCTAAAGTGGGCTCCTTCTGAGTAAGTTGTACCTGCTAAAAACAGTAGTGCATCTGTTCCCTGCATAAATTCCATCCGAATGTGTTCATTGTAGGTGCATCAATGCAACAATTGAATGGATATGCAACAGGCTCAGACTTTTTTTGTGTGTGGATAAAACTCAGGAATCCCCATTTTAAACTGTAACTCTGAGTTCTGTGTGCATTTAAGAAAACCTCAAAAAACAAACAAATACAAAATATCCTTAGTAGTAGTAGCGGAAGAGGACTTTGGAAACAATGGTGGGGCAAGTCTCTAAAGAGTTCTTCACATAGTCTCCTTACATATTTTCTGTAGTGTAAATTATCTATTTACTAGTCTACTCCACTGGATTTTTCTCAGTGACTCCATAAAAATTATTTAGCAGAGGTACTTTTGTAATCATGCTGCGCTGAGGAGTAAAAGTGTTCACAGGTCCCCATACGCTCATTTCCACTGCTGTGATGAAGTGGTCTGGAGCTTGTCCATTGGACTGTATTAGGAGAGACAGGGCAAAGATGGGTCAAGAACTTGCTGTATGTTTTTCCTTACAGTTGTGCTTGTTTTAGTCATCAGTAGTCATGTTTCTTTGGTTTTGCACTTATAGGAAGATGCATATTTCAAAAGGAGGGGGCAAACAATTTTAAGAGATTAGCTTTAGGCCAGCCAGTTCATATTGATCATGACTTTTAGGGAATCACTTCCTCATTCTCAGTGGGTGAACTAAATGCTGTAACCAGGTGCCTTGCCAAAATGCCACAGGTGTGCACCGTATGAGTAGGTGAAAATGTATTTGTAAGAGGTAGAATGACATAATGCATTTATCCCAAGGTGCTCCTGTGAGTTACTAATAACTTTCAAGATATTTAACCAAATTAAAAGTCTATAAAAAAAGGAAGCGTTAACCTGGGCCTTTGAGCATGAGATAGATGGTGAGCACTCAGCTACAATGTTAATAGGTGCAGTGTAAGAATCCAAGCAGATGGTGATTATATGTATACATTGTGGGACATATATAAATGAACTAAGATCTTTGTCAAAAGTAATTAAGGTATTTGTTCTCTTTCGCATACCACTCAGCTTATATATTTCAGTACATCTCCATCTGTATTAGAAATAGTCAGCAACTGCTTGCAAACATTTCATTTGGGTGTACATGTTGTTTTTGTTTTTGTTTTGTTTTTTAAAATCATGCCTTCGGTACTTAACAATTCAAGGTTGACAAATGCCAAAATTGAATGTGGTCTCCCCCTCCCCTTGAAAATAACATTTAGGGTAAAAATTTCAAATCAGGACAGGCAAAAATGTACAACACACTGAAAAGCAGGACATACAAAAATGCATATCTGCTTGCTGTGCCCATAGAATTAGAGCAAAGTGAGAAACTGTTTTCTCATCCCACAAAATAAAAAAAGCAGATAAAATAAAAAAAGAACAAGTTAAAAATCACTTAGAAAAGTTAGATGCCTGCAAGTCACCAGGGCCTGATGAAATGCATCCTAGAATACTCAAGGAGCTAATAGAGGAGGTATCTGAGCCTCTAGCTATTATCTTTGGAAAATCATGGGAGACGGGAGAGATTCCAGAAGACTGGAAAAGGGCAAATATAGTGCCCATCTATAAAAAGGGAAATAAAAACAACCCAGGAAACTACAGACCAGTTAGTTTAACTTCTGTGCCAGGGAAGATAATGGAGCAAGTAATTAAGGAAATCATCTGCAAACACTTGGAATGTGGTAAGGTGATAGGGAATAGCCAGCATGGATTTGTAAAGAACAAATCATGTCAAACCAATCTGATAGCTTTCTTCGATAGGATAACGAGTCTTGTGGATAAGGGAGAAGCTGTGGATGTGGTATACCTAGACTTTAGTAAGGCATTTGATACAGTCTCGCACGATATTCTTATCAATAAACTAGGCAAATACAATTTAGATGGGGCTACTATAAGGTGGGTGCATAACTGGCTGGATAACCGTACTCAGAGAGTTGTTATTAATGGTTCCCAATCCTGCTGGAAAGGCATAACAAGTGGGGTTCCGCAGGGGTCTGTTTTGGGACCGGCTCTGTTCAATATCTCCATTAACGACTTAATTTTGGCATAGAAAGTATGCTTATTAAGTTTGCAGATGATACCAAACTGGGAGGGATTGCAACTGCTTTGGAGGACAGGGTCATAATTCAAAATGATCTGGACAAATTGGAAAAATGGTATAAGGTAAAGAGGATGAAGTTTAACAAAGACAAATGCAAAGTGCTCCACTTAGGAAGGAAAAATCTGTTTCACACATACAGAATGGGAAGAGACTGTCTAGGAAGGAGTATGGCAGAAAGGGATCTAGGGGTTATAGTGGACCACAAGCTAAATATGAGTCAACAGTGTGATGCTGTTGCAAAAAAATCAAACATGATTCTGGGATGTATTAACAGGTGTGTTGTGAGCAAGACATGAGAAGTCATTCTTCCGCTCTACTCTGCGCTGGTTAGGCCTCAACTGGAGTACTGTGTCCAGTTCTGGGCACCGCATTTCAAGAAAGATGTGGAGAAATTGGAGAGGGTCCAGAGAAGAGCAACAAGAATGATTAAAGGTCTTGAGAACATGACCTATGAAGGAAGGCTGAAAGAACTGGGTTTGTTTAGTTTGGAAAAGAGAAGACTGAGAGGGGACATGATAGCAGTTTTCAGGTATCTAAAAGGGTGTCATAAGGAGGAGGGAGAAAACTTGTTCACCTTAGCCTCTAAGGATAGAACAAGAAGCAATGGGCTTAAACTGCAGCAAGGGAGGTTTAGGTTGGACGTTAGGAAAAAGTTCTTAGCTGTCAGGGTGGTTAAGCACTGGAATAAATTGCCTAGGGAGGTTGTGGAATCTCCATCTCTGGAGATATTTAAGAGTAGGTTAGGTAAATGTCTATCAGGGATGGTCTAGACAGTATTTGGTCCTGCCATGAGGGCAGGGGACTGGACTCGATGACCTCTCGAGGTCCCTTCCAGTCCTAGAATCTATGAATCTATGAAAAAAGTTTTTGAGATTTTGAAAAACTTTCCTGCCTTAAAGGGTGAGGAAAAGTTGAAACCTTGAAAAATTTTTGTGAACCAAAATTCTGAAAAAATTTCAGTGCAGGTCAATTGAAACATTTTGCGTGTTGATAATTTCAAAATGTTCTGTTTGGATTTTGACTTTTTTTTTTAACTAAGATTAGCTTAAATTTCTAAAAAAAAGTCTTTGCAAACTGGAAAACTGGAATTTTTCATTGACAATTTCAATACTTTTTTTCAAAAATTTTTGAGTTGAGAAATCTGTCGAAACTAACCCTTTCTTATGAAAAGTTTGTTTCAACAAATTTGCGTTTTCTGAAGAAAAAAAAATAGAAAGTTTTTAAAAATTCTCTCTTTGCAGGTGGTGGTGTCCTTTGGCAGTGGAACTGTTTGAAGTCCACTGTACTGGCGTGTGTACACTCCCAGTGCAATGCAGAGTTCAGCTTTGTGAGAGCCTGTATGGCAACATGCATGTTTGGGGAAGGCTGGAGTGAGAGGAAGGGCTAGAAGAACTTCCAATGTACACATTCCCTGGTCTTTTCCTCCTTTCTCCAGCCAACTTAGAAGCTACATACTAGGGCCATAGACTTGACTCCAGCCAGGCCTGGCTCCAGGCACCAGCCCAGCAAGCAGGTGCTTGGGGCGGCCAAGGGGAAGGGGCGGCACATCGGGCTGTTCGGTGGCAATTCAGCGGCGGGTCCCTCTCGGAGGGAAGCACCTGCCGCCGAATTCCCGCTGAACAAGAAAGCGGTGCGGTGGAGCTGCCGCCGGAGTGCCACCGATCGCAATTGCGATCGCTGCTTTTTTTTTTTTTTTTTCCGCTGGTTGGGGCGGCAAAAACCCTGGAGCCGGTCCTGGCTCCAGCCATCAGGAGTAGCCTGAGTGGAGTGGCTCTATTACTACTCAACAGCCTTTGGAGTATGATTCCTCCACTTGTTTCCTTGGGCTGATCTCTGAGGGAAGATACATGGCTGACTACTGGGGACTAGATTTGCATCCAGACCAGTAACGGTGTG